CTGTGTGTGTGTGGCTGTGTGTAGGTGTGTGTATGTGTGTGTGTCTGTGTGTGGCTGTGAGGACCAGGAGATGGTCCATGAACAGCACCTTGTCCTGCATCTGACCACTCGGACGTTTCATTTAATAAACACAAACACGTTTTAGAGACAAGAAGATGAGAAATAAGAAAACAGATTGTCTAAATGTTCTGGAGGTTTCTGGGATGAAATAAAAACTGATTCTACGTGTGTCTGTTGGTTGTTTCACCTGATTTGTCTTCACTCTGGCACCTGCAGATGAAAGCCTGTTGCCCCTCCCCCTCCTCAAACCAACCTACGAGAAGTTGGCTCTCGCCTCTCAGTCGCTGTCAATCAGCCACACAAACAGCGCCTTTGCTCCTTTCCTATTGGCTGAGGGCCTGTCGTCCATGGAGACGCTGCTGACCAACATCCAGGTGACAGACAGTGGAGATAACGCAGAGACACTGATCACTGATAGTGTCACAGGTGATGATGCAGTCGCTGCCTGTGTGTTCTCAGGGGCTCCTGAAGGTGGCGGTGGAGAGCGTTCGCTCTCAGGACAAACAGAACCAGCTGGAGAGGAAAGAGTTAAAACTGGAGCTGGAGCGAGAACGAGACGCTCGGCAGGCGCTGCAGAGACACCTGAGCTCCGAACTACAGAGCAGAGGTGAGACAGGTGAGACAGGTGAGCTCTGAACTACAGAGCAGAGGTTAGGTGACTGTCTGCTGATTAGAGGTGAGACAGGTGTGTGTCTGTCTGTCTGTCTGTCTGTCTGTCTCAGTGTCCATCCAGAGGAGGCTGAAGAAGGAGAAGAAGGCGAAGAGGAAGCTGCAAGAGATGTTGGACTTTGAGTCCAGGAGGAGGCAGCAGGTGGAGCGAGCACTGAAGCAAACAGACTGCTGCTCAGGTGAACACATTAAGGAGTCATCCTATCAGTTACAGAGGTAGTAGCGACGCTAATGCGAGGCTAACACAGCCAGGCTAATGCAGCGACACCAATGTAAGGCTGAAATAGAGACGCTAACACAGGAAGGCTCATGCAGCAAGGCTAATACAGGACAGCTAACAAAGCAACGTTAACGCAGCAACGCTAAAGTGAGGCTAATGCAGTGAGGCTAACGCAGCAACACTAGTATAAGGCTAACACAACGACGCTAACACAGAAAGGCTAACGAAGCAACACTTACACGAGATTAACATTGTGATGCTAACAGCGAGGCTAACACAGCAACACTAAAGTAAGGCTAACATACTAATGCTAGCACAGTAACGCTAAAGCAAAGCAAATACAGCTAGGCTAACACAGTGATGCTTATGCAGCAAGGCTAACACAGCAACGCTAACACGAAGCTAAGACAGCGATGCGAAGGCAGCGAGGCTAACGCAGCTAACATGGTTTTCCTGTGTTGGTTTTCAGATGCAGCGACGCCTGAAAGCGAACTGGAGAACAAACAGCAGGAGAACTCAGCTGCTCACGGTAACCTGAAACAGACAGAACCACAAACGCTGTTGTTGCACCAGTTTACAAACAGACGCCATGTTTGTTTCAGTACCAGCATGACCAGTTCAGTTGTGTATCGTTTCCAACATGCAACAAGTTCAGAGAAGTTCAGCATCCAGCGCTGGTTCTCTGTTGCTGACGTGTAAGACCGTCCAAAACCCACTTGAACGTTCAGCCAACCTTATTTGTATTCGTGAAAATGTGGAAAAACACAAAGATGTCACTGCTTTTTCCACGTTTTCCGCTTTAAACCAGATCCAGACCTTAAACCGCCTCCGACAGATGCATCGGACTGTCTCTCAAGTCCAGATCTGAAACATCTCATCATGACTAACCTGCTGCACAGAAACCAAAGCATCTGATTCCTGAAACCTTCATTCTGTTTAAGAAAACCCAGTAAATGAAGATCACGTGAAGGAGTTTTAATGTGGCACGTTAAAATGAAACATAGTGAAATCTGAATGTGGGCTTCAGTCGGCATTCAGGGTTTTGATCGGCATGAATAAAGTTCTGTTGTTGGATTATTACTGTGTTCATCTTTATAATGTAGGAAAACATTTTATTCACTGTGCAGCTCAAAGACAACCAGCAGCTTTTAAGGTGGAACGAACCAGTCAGACACCTTAAATGCGACGTCTGTTCTGATTGGCTCTCCTGCTTGAAACACTTCAGTTCTGGCTGGATCTACTAGCAGTAACCGTGGCGATGTAACGACCAGCTGTTGGCGTCCAATCAGAGCGAACGAACTGTGAAATGAAAGCAGAGCTGAAGCTGCTGATAACATTCATTCATCACAGCTCAGAAATGTGACTTTTAATTTGGTCATTTTGTGAAAGAAAATATTCAAGAAGCTGAAATCACTGAACTGATCCTCTTAAACAAAAAAACACCCAAACTGGTTAATCGATTATCAGAATAGATGATTAATAGCAGTTCATTTAATACCAAACTTTATTGTAAATTAACTTCCAAGTTTAAGAACGATTTCAAAGTCAATTTTCCTGCGAAATCTCCCGAAGATCAGGATTCACTGCTGATCTTTAATTTGTTGTTAAATTTATCTGAAACTAATCTGATCATCTGTTCAGCGACTTTCAATAAAAAGGTAAAAAGATTTTGTGGTTCAGTGACTCCGTTAATCTGAAACTGTCTTCTTAAATGACTTTTTCTGGCACAAACTTTCCAGCTTTTATGACTCTGAGGTCTGGAGATTTTTTGTTTTTTGATCTTAGAGGTTCCAGCTGCTCAGATGTCACAGTTTGCTGCTTCTCTCTGTTTCCATTTAAACTGATTTTATTTGAGTGTTTTGGACACGAAGAAGAAAAGCAGCCGTCCACTGATGCACTAGCATGAAACCCTGTCAGACTCTGAGCCGACAGGTGAATCTGCGTCTCACCTGTCGGCTCCAACAGGAAATAAAACTGTTTCACTGCTGCTGTTCCAGATGTTTGTTTTCTGCTTGTCTGCAGAGAAGCGAGTGTTCACCAAACCTCCTCTGCTCTTCTGAGACACCTGCAGGACAGACGAAGCCGACGGAGACACTGAAGAAATCAAAACGTACAACAAAAACAGAAGAGAAACTAAAGACTTCCGTCAGCCACGTGTCTGTATTTGACTGTTATGTAACACCTGTGAGGGGCGGAGCCACTGCTGGAGGGGTGGAGCTGTAAACACCTGAACTCTTTTTAACATTTAACGTTGATTTAATGTTCCTTTACTGAAAAGCTTTTAGTGTTTTTTAGCTTGATCTGAAGTACTGCAGATACTACATACAGTACTGCTGTTACTACATGCAGTACTGCTAATACTGCACACAGTACTATTGTATTGATACTACATGCATAACTACTAACTCTGTATGCAGTAGTATGGTGACATCATGCAATACTACTGATACTACATACAAGTACCACTTATATGCAGTACTACTGATACTACACACAATACCTCTGTTTCTACACGCAGTACTACTGGTACTGTATGCAGTACTGTTACTAATGACACCACCGTTAATAAGCTTGTTAATCTCCTGATTTGTTGTTTTTATTTAATCAAAGTGTAACATTGTTATTATTGTTGTTGTTGTTGTTGTTGTTGTTTGACAACTTTGTGTGAAAATGTAAATACTGAACTGCAAACTGATCACTATGATTGATCCATGGTTGATCAGCCTGAGTTTAGTACCCATCAGGAACCTGGTTGTCCTCAGAACCAGAACTTTAGAACTCTGTGAGCTTCTGCTGGAGTTTCTACAAACAACAGCTGATGTTACTGATTATTGATTTCTATATTAAACTTTCTGATCAGATAGATGGATCACACATCTGCCTCCTGCAGCCTGATTGGCTGATTGATGGATTAGTCGACTCTCTGAAGGTCACATAATGCCGAGCTAAAGTCAAGTCATGCCACCCGAGCGCCGTCCTCTGATTGGCTCCTGTGATCAGTGACTTTGATCAGTTCTGAGAAGGTATTGATCTGTAAGAATTTTACATTAAAGCGGTTTAAACCTGAAACACGAGCGACTGATCAATAAAACACCTATAAGCAATACTCATGTCTCCTCCTTCACACTGAGCATGTGCAGCATCACAGATAAATGCAACAAACACTAATGCATCAATATGGTTCTTTGTTGTCATGGTGACCTAAAATGTTAACTCACCTGGAAACACCTGATAGTGATACCATCTGAGACTTCATCTGCCCTCCGCTGGTTCATGTCCTACCTCTCAGGAAGATACTTCAGAGTATCCTGGAGGGGAGAAGTGTCTGAACCGCACAACCTGTCCACAGGGGTTCCTCAGGGGTCAGTGCTCGGTCCCCTTCTCTTCTCAGCATACACAACCTCACTTGGTGCAATAATCCAGGCCCGTGGTTTTTCACACCGTTGCTATGCTGATGACACCCAGCTCTTCCTGTCCTTCCCCTGGACGACCACACGGTCTCTGCTGGATCTCATCGTGCCTTGCAGACATCTCGGCCACCTTCAGCTCAGCCTCTGTAAGACTGAGCTCCTTGTCATCCCAACCAGTCCCTCTCTACAACAAGGAATCAGCATCCAGCTGATCCAACCCAACTCAGACCCACTAAATCTGCCAGAACCTTGGGCGTCATGATTGATGACCAGCTGACCTTCAAGGCTCATGTGGCCTCTGTTGCTCGGTGGTGTTGATTCGTCCTGTACAGCATCAGGAAGATCAGACCTTTCCTGTCTGAACATGCAGCACAACTCCTGGTCTAGGCTCTCATCATATCATCGACTACTGCAGCTCCTTACTGGCAGGCCTCCTGCATCCACGGTCAGACCTCTGCAGATGATCCAGAACCAGCAGCCCGTCTGGTGTTCAACCAGCCAAGAACACCATGTCACCCCGCTGTTCAGATCGGTCACTGGCTTCCAGTCAGAACCAGAGAGAGAACATCTCCTCCTGCCTGAACTCTCTCTTTCAGGTCTGCACTCCCTCTGCTCACTAACTGGACCAACCAGAACCTCCTGGTCCAACCACAGCAACAGGGCCCAGGTTGGTAGCTGGACTCTCCTCCTCTGTGGTTCTGGTGGTGGAACCAGTTACCAAAGTGTTCAACCTGCTGACTCCATCTGAAGAGCAGCTCTGCACTCAACACCTGACAGCCTGGAAACAAGCAAACAAAAGCAAATGTTCCTGTCGCCGCCCTACAGCCTGCTGCTGGCATCAGCACCGACCACACTGGACCTGTTCTAGGCTCTGATCCAGGTGGTTCTCTCCTCACCAGATCCTTGCTGGTGTTGGATCTGCTCTCAGACGTACGTCGCTTTGGATAAAAGCATCTGCTGAATGAAACTGTAGAATCTACCAATCAGCAGCAGGTCCCCACATAGACCGCAGGACAGAGGGTGTGTGTGATGAATGAAGGCACGACTTGCTTCCTTTGACACATTTTACACACACACACACCTTGCTCCCATGGCAACCCAGTTAAGTGAATGAGGACACACTTAGCGCTCTGTGTGTGCGTGTTAACAGACAGCACGGTCTGATCTGATTGGTCAGCTCTGTCTTTCGACCACGAGGGAACAAAGTTTCAAGAACTGAGATATCTGGTTGAAAAAATCTTTTTTGTAAACACTGCAGCAATCATTTAAACTTCAGTCAACTTCAATAATTAATGATTTCTGCCGTTTTCAGTTACAAAAAATATTTCTGAGACGTATGGCTCCAAATCTTATGAAGAAATGTAAGAAAAGACTGCAGGCATGAAACACTGAACACTTCTAGGAGCAGCTTCAGGCCTTTTGAAATTGGCGCTTCATAAATAAAACCGAGTTGTAAGAAAAACAAAGTGACTAAAGACGGTTAAAGATCCGAGCTGTCTGCAGATCAGTATGCCGGGTCTCAGTGGACAGTATGTGGAGTGTTGAGTCGATCATTGGAAGCAGCTTTGACGATGTTCAGGTTTGTATTTTTCGTCTTCATGCTGCTTCTGAAAGTTAACGAGGACAAACGCTGAGTTCAAACTTCATCAGAGTTTAAGATTCTGAACAAATCAGGTCAGAAAAAAAACAAAAAAACCAGTCAGACCTGGTCTTTGATGTTCATCCAACTGATGCTGCTGGTGGGCGGAGCTCTGAGACCTCGTTAACATCTCGTTAGCGCAGCTGTCCGTCACCACATAGTAATTAACAGACACTCGTCGATGCTAATTTGCGTATTAATACGTCCAGTTGTCCAAACATGTTAATGTTAACAACAACAACAAACAAAGAGTTTGATCTCCTAACGAGCTGGTGCTTCTTAACGAGCTTGACGACTCCTGGAGCCTTAACGAGATCAACAAACACTCATTAGTACAGACCTACTGTAACACACAAACTGCTGCCCGTCTGCAGGCTGAGATGAAAACAAACAAGACTTTGATTTATTTTGTCTAAAATCTGAACTTTGATCCAGTTTGTAAAAATAAGATGCGATGAAGTTTCAAGCCGCGACGACTCCGAGCCTCCTCCAGATGTCTGTCAGCCTCTAAGACAGAGGAACCTCTGTCACGACCGTAGACGGACCCATCAGCTGAGCGCTCCACCTTCAGGCTCAGCTTCCTCTTCACCATGACGCCTTCATTACTGTTGAAGCTGCAGCTGGAAACCGGCCTTCTGCTGCTGCTGAAGGTCTGATGAAGCCGCCAGAACCACGTTGTCTGCAAAAACCAGAGAAGTGATTTCGAGGTTCCCAGAACAGCGTCCTCAGCCCGGCGGCACCTTCAGATCCATGAACACCACACACAGGATCGGACACAAGGGGCGGCCCAGGACGAGTCCAACACCCCTGGTGACCGAATGGCTCAGAACAACGAGCCTGGTACCCAAAAGTCCTGCAGAACCCCCCCTGCAGAACGTACCACCAGAACCCACCATGAGAACCCTTGAGGGAAATGGTCCTTTTCCAAGACCACAGAACACCGAGGACTAGTCGGTGGAACCGTTCCAGGACAGAATCCAAACTGAGGATTCCCTTTAACCAGTATAACCATTGAAACCAGTACATACTCCCTCCACCCTATAATCCAGTGAAACCTGTTACCAACCAGTGAAACAAACTGGGATCTGATGGTTTTATTGGTTTGTTTTGGTGTGAAGGACTTCAGCAATCACAGACTGATCAATAACGATGGAGAACATCAGGTAATCAATAAGAGATCATCAATAACGTCAGGTGACCAAAGACACATCATCAATACTACAAACTATTCAACAACATTCTGTTCTCACTTGAGTTTAAAGTTTCCAAACACATATTTCACACAAAGTATCAGCTGATCACCGATCAATGCTGATTATTGATCAGGAGGGAAGGACGAGACAAAGGAGGAGCAGAGTCTTCAGTATTTCGGTCTCTTCACATCGACCCTGAAAAATAAAAAGGCATTGTTTAGTTTGTTTACTGTTTACAGTTTTCCTCTTCATCATGTGTTCATCGTTTACAGATTACGATTTAGTTTGTTACTGTGTTGTGTCTCGTTTACAGCTTGTTTACTGTTTGTTTACTGTTTACTCAGCATCAGTCTAATGATGTAATAACAGTAACAGTCACCCGTCAGCCTCCATCTTCTTCCTCTTCTCGATGATCTGAAACAGACGACACACCGTCAGTGTTGTGTATCTGTTGTGTTGTGTTGCTGTTGTGTTGTGTTGCTGCTGCGTTGTGTTGCTGCTGCGTTGTGTTGTGTTGCTG